TTTTGTATGATAAACGATATTCCTCCCTCTTTTTCTCTTCCTCTCTCTCTTTCATTCTATTTCTCACCTGTTTTTTTTGTATCTTTCTTTCCACCTTCCTTTCTCCTCTCTCCCATATCCTTTCTTCTTTCCTTTCAATCGATCATCATCTCTCTCTCTCTTTCTCTCTCCCTGCCTTTTTTCATCCATTATTTCCTTCTTTCCTTCCATCCATGCATTTCCTTCTCTTTCCCTCCCATCCTTTTTCAGCCATTCTTCTATTCTTCCTTCCCTCTTACCTTCCCTCCATCCAACCATCCATTCCTCCTTACACCCTTTCTGTCTTCATCCATCTAACCATCCCTTCATTTTTCCAGTCTTCTTCTTCCTTCTAATCCATCTATCCATCCATCCATCCATCTGTCTATCCAGTCCAAGCTCTTCATCTATCTCATTTTTCTTCTCTCCTCCTCCTCCTCCTCCTCCTCCTCCTCCTCCTCGTCATTTCTCCTTCCCTTCCTTTCTTCATCCATTCATATTATCCCTTCCTTCTTCTTAGTCTTCTTTCTTCCTCTCCATCCATCCATCCATGTATCCATTCCTCCTCCTTATCCCTCCCTCTTCTCCTTATCCCTTCCTCCTCTCATCCTCTCTATCCCTCCTCCTCCTTTCTATCCTTCCTCCTCCCTTTCCTCCTTCCTCCTCCTCCTCCTCCTCTCTTTGCTCCACTCCTCCTCCCTTTCTCCCTCCTCCTCCTTTCTATCCTTCCTCCTCCTCCTCCTCTCCTCCCCTCTTTATCCTCCTCCTCCTCTCCTCTCTCTCTATCCCTCCTCTCCTCCTTTCCTCACTTCCTCCTCCTCCCTCTCCTCCCTCTTTATCCTCCTCCTCCTCCTCTCTCTCCATTGCTGTTTCAAAGTAGTCTAAAAAACAGCTTGCCTTCTACCCCGTAAGTAGCATTATTTACCTATTTTAACAAACTCCCTTAATCACCTTACCGCCACCCAAATACCTTCCCCCACTTTTTGTACCTACGTTGTGATAACATTTCTCTCTCTCTCTCTCTCTCTCTCTCTCTCTCTCTCTCTCTCTCTCTCTCTCTCTCCTCTCTCTCTCTCTCCTCTCTCTCTCTCTCTCTCCATCCCTCCTCCTTCTCCTACGATAAGCTTCAAAGCTTTTCTCCTTTTCTCTTCTTCATTCTTCCTCGCCCCTCCACTGCATTCTCTCCCTATCCACCCTGCTTGCTCCTCTCCTTGCTTCTCTCTCTCTCTCTCTCTCTCTCTCTCTCTCTTGATAAACAGCTTTTTCTCCTCACCCTCTCTTCCTCATTCTTCCTCCTTCTTGCTCATTCCTCCTACCACTCCCTTTCACCCTGACAAACGACTTTTTCTCCCTCCCCTCTTCCCCCATCACTCCCTCCATTCTCATTCTAAAAAAAAATCGTTCTTCCTCTTCCTCCTCCTCCTCCTCCTCCTCCTCTCCCTCCTCTCCTTCCTCTTTCTGTGATAAACAACTTCCTCCTTCCGTCCATCTCTTACCTCCTCCCCTTCCTGATAAACAACTTTCTTTTTCTCTCCCTTCCTTCCCCCTCCCTACCTTCCTACCTCTGATAAACAAGTTTTTTTTTGTCTTCTCCCTGCCTCCCTCCCTCTCTCCCTCCCCTCCCTTCCTTCCTTCCTTCCTTCCTTCCTTCCTTCCTCTGATAAACAGGATTTTTGTCTTTCCTCTTCTCCTTTCCCCCTATACTTCGTCTTCTCTTTCTCCTTGGTATGCAACTTTCCCTTCCTTCCTTCTTTCCATCTTTGAGTAGCAACTTCTCTCCCATCCCTTTTCCCTCTCCTCTCCTCTTCCCTTTTCATTTGCTCCCCTCGCTTTGTCTCTGCCCCCTCTCTCTATTTCCTATACCTCCTCTCCCCGTCATTATCTTCTCCTTCCTCTTCTCGCCTCCCCTTCGCTCTCTTTGCCTCTTCTCTGTCTTCCTCTTCCTTGTCCCCTCCTATCTCTTCCCTCCTCCTTCTCTTCCCTCTTCCCTCTCCCTTCTCCCTCTTCTCTGTCTTCCTCTTCCTTGTCCCCTCCTATCTCTTCCCTCCTCCTTCTCTTCCCTCTTCCCTCTCCCTTCTCCCTCTCCTCTCTCTTATCTACCTCTTTCCTCCCATCCCATCCTCTCTTCCCCCTCATCTTATCTCCCCCATTGCCCCTTCTCCCATCCTATCTCCCTCTTTCCTCCCACCCTATCTCCCTCTTTCCTCCCTCTCCCTGGGGTGATGGAAACAGACCAGAGATCGTTACCGCCGCTCATCCGTACAACCCTCCTTTGTTGATTTTTGTTGATGTCTTTTGTTGGTTTCTTTGAGCCCGTGGACGAGAGAGAGAGAGAGAGAGAGAGAGAGAGAGAGATAAAGACAGACAAAGGAAGATAAACAGAGAGAAAGAGGTAGATTGATATTTAGACAGGGAGAGAGAAAGTGGAAGATAAAATTATAAAGACTAAGAAAAAAAAACAGAAAGAAGAGAACGAGAGAGAGAGAGAGAAAGAAAGGAAGAAATAAAAGTTAGCTCTCTTTGGCTCTATGTACTTTTGTGTGTTTCTCGGGACAGGTACACAAGGTTTAGGGTTCGTTAGGCGCTTGTTCAACCGTGTACAAATTGATCCTCTCGCTGGTGGCAGGGAGAGGGAGGAAGGAAGGGAGATGGAGGAGGGTGGAAGGGAGATGGAGGAGGGTGGAAGGGGTTGGAAGGAGGGTATTGAAAAGTTGGAGGAGGAGGTAGGGAGACGGAGGAGGTGGAAGGAGTTGGAGGAGGGCGGAGGTTGGAGGAGGTGGAAGGAGGTTGGAGGAGGGTGGAAAAAGAGGTTGGAGGAGGGAGGTAGGGAGTTGGAGGAAGGTGGAAGAATTGGGAGGAAGGAGGTGGAAGAGTTGGAGGAGGGTGGAAGGAGTTGGAGGTAGGGAGTTGGAGGGGGTGGAAGGGAGTTGGAGGAAGGTGGAAGGGGGGGGTTGGAGGAGGTGGAAGGGAGTTGGAGGAGGAGGTAGGGAGTTGGAGGGTGGAAGGGAGTTGGAGGAAGAAGGATGGAGGGGAGGAAGGGAATTGGAGAATGGAAGGAGTTGGAGGAGGGAGGTAGGGTGGAGGAAGATTGGAAGGGGAGTTGGAGGAGGATGGAAGGGTTGGAGGAGGGTGGAAGGGGAGTTGGAGGAGGGAGGAGAGGAGGCTGGAGGAGGAGGAAGACGGAGGAGGAAGGGAGTTGGAGGAGGAGGGAGGAAGGAAGTTGGAGGGGGTGGAAGGGAGATGGAGGAGAGTTGGAAGAGGGATAGAGTAAGGAGGAAAAGAAGTGAGGAAGTTAAGAAGAGAGATGGGAAAGGAGGAAGGAAAGTAGGGGAGGGAAGGAGGTAAATAAGAGAGGAAGGGAAGGAGACACATAGAGAGGGAATAAGAGAAAAAGGGAGAGGTAAGGTAACGGAAGGAAGAGAGAAGGAAAGGACAAAGACTGAGAGGGGAAGGAGGAAAGGGGAGGAAAAGAGAATTGGACCAGTGGAAGTAAGAATGGATGGATGGATGGTCAAGGCTGGACAGAGATGGAAAACAACGAGAAAAATGTAAATGGACAGACAGACAGAGGAGACAGGCAGAGAATAATAATAAGAAAGATTAAGAGACAGACAGACAGAATAATAAAAATAAAGATTAAGAAAACATGGATAAAAAAAACCAGGAGAGAGAGACAGAAGGAGGGGGAGAGGGAGGGATGGTGAGAGATATACTGTATACTCGTATCTCACAATCAAGGTAGAGACAACGAGGGGGCATCTACAGCATAGAGTTGGGGGGTGGGGTGAGACGCAGCACAGTATGGTTGGTTGTGTTCCGCTCCTGCCTTAATGACCCCTGACAGGTGCACTGGGTCTTATGACGTGTGTGTGTGTAGGTGGTTAACATTTTGATATATCTATACCTGTACTTATGTAATTATGATACCTGTATTTTGTATCTATGCCTGTAAGTGTATGTGTTACTTGTATCTGTACTTGCACCCTGTATCTGTAACATGTTCCTGTATGTATTTCTTACCTGTATTTGTATCAGATGGGCACAGGTGTATTTTGATATCGTGTAGTGTTGGATGCTGCTATCATTTTGTAATCTCTATACCTGAACTGGTGTCCGTAATGTTGTTTTTATGTCTGAACTGGTATTGGATGGGGAGAGGGAGAGAAGAGGAGAAGAAAAGGGAAAGAAAAGAGAAGAGATAGGAGGGAATAAATGGGAAGGGAGGAAGGAAGAAGTATGTGGATAGGGTAGAGGAAGAGAGAGAGAGAGGGATAGCAAACAGGGATGAGCTATAAGGCCGTGTGGTTAGGTTAGGTTAGGTAAGGGAAGGGTACATTAGGATAAGAAAGGTTAGGTTAGCATAGTCTTTGGTAAAGTTTGGGTTAGGTTAGCTTAGATAAGTTTACGTAAGGTTGGGTTAGGGTAGGGTAGGTGAATGTGGAGTACAGAGAGAGAGAGAGAGAAAACTTAAACGCTAGAACCTGCTAGAGAGAGAGAGAGAGAGAGAGAGAGAGAGAGAGAGAGAGAGAGAGAATCTTTTACCACCACTCTAATAACCAAATACATACAAGAACCTGTCAGAGAGAGAGAGAGAGAGAGAGAGAGAGAGAGAGAGAGAGAGAGAGAGAGAGAGAGAGAGAGAGAACCATAAGAGGCAGTGGTAAAGTTAACACATGTGACGTGAGGAATCCTCCTAACAGGCCTCAAGGAATCTCTCCCACGACCTTCCAGGGATCTCAAGCTAGGACTCTCTCTCTCTCTTTCTCGTATATGTTGACGTGAGAACTCGTCTAGGGTAGAGTCTCAGTGTCATTTCGTAGTCATATTGTCCTGGTATATTTGTGTCTAGGTAGAGTCTCGGAGCACTTTCGTCGTCATCTTTGTGAAAGATATTTAAGTTGTATCCGAGCCATTGTGGAATTTTGTTGCCATTTTAGTTGGGTTAGTTGTATCTCAAGTCAAGTCACAGGACAATTTCACCGTCATTTTAAATAAGGTTTAAGCTCGAGACCATTGTAGGAATTCTTCACGTCTTTTAGCTGAGGGATAAATTTACCGTAAGATCCTTTTGGGGAATCCATGACCGAAGAAGATCCCTGGAAGACAACAATGTCCAGCCAGGAAGACAATGGAACATCGACTTGCGTCCTGAGCATCACGATCCCCACAAACCTTGTAATGCTCCTCACACCCTCCCTCCCCTCCCCTCCTCACCCCCTCCCCTCCCCTCCCTGCCTCTCCATCCTCCTCCTCCTCCTCCTCCTCCTCCTCCCTCCTCTCTTCTTCCGTTGTTTTTGACACTCCCAAGCAGTTGGGAGGGATTTAGCCAATGTGTGTGTGTGTGTGTGTATTTTTTGTATTTTGTGTTTGTCTGAGTGTTTGTGCATTGTTTGTATGTGAGTTTGTGTATTTGTCTCTGTACTTTTGTGAATTTTCTCTGTTTTTGTGTGTTGATGTTTTTTTTTCTTGTGTATTTGTGACTTTTTTTATGTGTTTATTTTTGTGGACGTTTTTATCCGAGTGTTTTTAGTCGATTTTCTTCTGTTTACTTGTCGTTTGTGTGTTTGTTGTTTTTGTTTTCTTGTTTTGGCGCCGCTTATGGGTGGTTATATTACAGTATGGAAGGTTATATTACAGTATGGAGGGTTATATTACTGTATGGAAGGTTATATTACAGTATGGGTGGTTATATTACAGTATGGAGGGTTATATTACAGTATGGGTGGTTATATTACAGTATGGGTGGTTATATTACAGTATGGAAGGTTATATTACAGTATGGGTGGTTATATTACAGTATGGAAGGTTATATTACAGTATGGAGGGTTATATTACAGTATGGAGGGTTATATTACAGTATGGAGGGTTATATTACAGTATGGAGGGTTATATTACAGTATGGAGGGTTATATTACAGTATGGAGGGTTATATTACAGTATGGAAGGATATATTACAGTATGGAGGGTTATATTACAGTATGGAGGGTTATATTACAGTATGGAGGGTTATATTACAGTATGGAGGGTTATATTACAGTATGGAGGGTTATATTACTGTATGGAAGGTTATATTACAGTATGGAGGGTTATATTACAGTATGGAAGGTTATATTACAGTATGGAAGGTTATATTACAGTATGGAGGGTTATATTACAGTATGGAGGGTTATATTACAGTATGGAGGGTTATATTACAGTATGGAGGGTTATATTACAGTATGGAGGGTTATATTACAGTATGGAGGGTTACATTACAGTATGGAGGGTTATATTACAGTATGGAGGGTTATATTACAGTATGGAGGGTTATATTACATTATGGAAGGTTATTACAGTATGGAGGGTTATATTACAGTATGGAGGGTTATATTACAGTATGGAAGGTTATATTACAGTATGGAGGGTTATATTACTGTATGGAAGGTTATATTACAGTATGGGTGGTTATATTACAGTATGGAGGGTTATATTACAGTATGGGTGGTTATATTACAGTATGGGTGGTTATATTACAGTATGGAAGGTTATATTACAGTATGGGTGGTTATATTACAGTATGGAAGGTTATATTACAGTATGGAGGGTTATATTACAGTATGGAGGGTTATATTACAGTATGGAGGGTTATATTACAGTATGGAGGGTTATATTACAGTATGGAGGGTTATATTACAGTATGGAGGGTTATATTACAGTATGGAGGGTTATATTACAGTATGGGAGGTTATATTACAGTATGGAGGGATATATTACAGTACAGAGGGATTTATACCGCATTACTGTGTGTTCTTGTGTCTACTTAGTGAATTTATTGCTTCGTTGGTGTGTGGTAGAGGATTAACCCTGCCTCCGTGTTGTTTCCCTGAGAGCCAGTTACTCTTGTTTATGTTGTAGGGGGTGGGGGGGTGCTGAGATTACCGGGGGTGGGGGAGGCAGGGGAAGGGAGAATGCTGAGATTAAGGAGAGGAGGAGGAGAGAGGGAGGAAGAGATCGGGTGTGTTGAGATTAGATGAATGGGGGGGGATAGGGGGAGAGGAAGAGGGTGTGAGATTAGGGGGAGGGAAGAGATGTGGGGAGGCTCTGAGACTGGGGGAGGATGGAGGTGAGGGGGTAAGAGGCTATGTTTAAGAGGAAGGGGAAGAGGGAGAGATGTGGGGAGGTTGATGGTGGGGAGGAAAATACTATATAGGGTATATAATAATAATAATAATAATTGCCTCTTATCATCTGAAACTGAATATGACATAGATCTTTACTTAACTTTATTCCAACCTTCTCAATCTGTGTGTATTTATAGTGTTCATTTTATTGATGATTTAATTAGTCTGGTATGTAATTAATAGCATGAGGTTAGCTTGTGTGTACATGAACGGCGGTCCTCTCAAGACGCTCTTAATATACCGAAGATCCATTTAATTTACATCTTCTAACTCATGTACTTTATTACAGTCTTGGGTATTTTCTGTTTCCTTCTTCATTTGTTTTTCTTCACACACTGCTGCTAGGTTATCTTATTGTGTGGTGTTTCTTTTTTTTTATTGGTCATTGATTCCCCTTTTCTTTTCCTTTCTCTCCAATTCCTCTCCTCTCTCTCTCTCTCTCTCTCTCTCTCTCTCTCTCTCTCTCTCTCTCTCTCTCTCTCTCCTTTTCTTCCTCTTTTTTCTCCCTCCCAATTCCCGTTTTTCTCTCCCCTATCCCCGCTTTCTCTCCCTCTGTTCTTCTCCTCCTTCCTCTCCCAACCTCCGTCGTCTCCCTCTCCTTTCCCCCTTCCCCCCCTCTCACCCCCCCCCTTCTCATCACTTAGCACACGTCATCACTCTCAATTAATCACTCCACATCCATTTTCTATATCCGTCTATACCACTTAACACCATCCATTCACAATTCAGCGTCAATTAGCTCCCATTTAAAGGTGCCGGCTGCTCCTTCCTCCAGCCGTCTGTATATCCCAGTTCCCCCTTCTTCCCCAGGGACCTTGGCACTACCTGGCTCTTGTAGGTTATACCCTGTCTTATTCCGGGGCCTCTTTTTGTTTCTTTAATACTTCTGGGGTTCACCTGAAGATTATCCCTCCCCCCCGAGCTTAATTCACATCAAGGCTTAGACCACCCAGCTTAATTCACTTCAAGGTTAACCATCCAGTTTAATTCAGCTTTAGATTTAACCCTTTGACGACGTTGATTTAACCATTTCATGACGTTGATTTAGCCCTTTAAGTATGATGGGTTAACCCTTTGCCGACCATGACCTAAGTTCCATTCCGCTTAAGTGATTACTATATTATTTTTGTGCCGCATTGTGAGCAGAATTAGTCAAGCGTTTAAAGACTCGTGGATAATTTCTGTTAAGTATGAGCAGCCAAGTGTTGAAGTACCTTTAATTACAACCTTTTGCTATTTTAAGTACGTTATTTCCGCGTTTAAATTGTTATATATATTTCTCTGCTTTTAAGTATGAGCACCCAGGTGTGTGTGTGCGTGCGTGTGTAATTAAAGCCTTTTGTTGTGTCAATACATTATTCCAGCGTTTGTAAATTCACGTATTGTATAATTTTCCTCTATTAAAAAAGAGCATCCAGGTTAGTTAAGACAGACACACACACACATACACACACACGCACACACACACACATACACACACACACACACACACACACACACACACACACACACACACACACACACACACACACACACACACACACACACACACACACACCTCTAGTTATAATCTTTTGTGGTTGTAGGGACATTATTTGCTTCAGAGTTTTAAATACTTAATGCTCGTAAGTTTTCCAGCTAATAGAAACATAGGCGAGTTGAAGTACTCTGTTGTGAGCTTCTATTACCCAGTCGTTGAGTAATGTTTGTGATAGAGGGGTGGGTCATCCTCATGTTAAACCCTTGAGTGTGTTAAACCAGCAGTTAAACCCTTTAGTGTGTAAATAGATTAACCTTTTTGTTTTAAGCTTACATAGGCCACAGATTCTCAAAAGATCGTATGTAAATTTTTTGTCTTCTCGTAAATGGAGATGTAAACATACACCTAACTTGAGAAAAATTACAGAACAGCGTCTAAATTGGCACCATAATAATTACTACACTCCAGACTCAACCTTAACTACACACATTCACTAAGCAATAGTTGAGAGTTTATGTTTACGTTCGGAATCTTTATGAATCCTGAGAGAGAGAGAGAGAGAGAGAGAGAGAGAGAGGGGGGAGGATGTAAATACTAATAACTAAATGTATACCTTGTGTTTATAGTGTTATTCAAAACGTTTAAATACTCCTAAACAATTACCATCTTCCTAACTCAATCGTGTGGTTCTTGTGTTTCGTGTCTCTCTCGTTTAAAACTATTGTGGGATACAGAGAAAAAAAAATATTCCAACAGGTGCTATTTATTTTAAGTATTCACCCCTGTACCCTTCATACCCCCCACCCTCCTATCCCCACCCCCCCCCTCCCTCTACTTATCCCCACCCCCCTCCCTCTACCCCCCGCCTCTACCCTCACCCCCCTACCCATTCTTCATTAGGTTCTGTTAGCGTGTGTAAAGTAGCTCTGGCTGTTCCATTTGTAGATTAAACAGATTATCCGGTCGTGTAAAAACTCGGGTCTCCAAGTCGTCTCTGTGAGTATATTTAAGGACACCTGGTTAATCCCTTTGTTGTGTAAACAGATTATCCTAAACTGATTAGTATTGCAACGTTTAGTGACGCCTCGATAATCACCTCACTTGATCTGATCCCTCTTTGGTTGAGTTCAGGATCGTTTTCATTTATAACGACCTCTTAATTACCTTTGGATGTATAGTTAATTATATTGTGAAAGTAAATTAGTACCTGGGATTAATTATTGTGGTCTGTAAGTGTTATAGTACTCATACATACATACATACATATATATTTACATACATACATACATACATGGCATATCTGTTGTTAATCTCTTCTGTCCTGCTGAAATGTGTGAAAGCTTCTTATACGGTTTTCACGTTAACGGGTCATCCGGGTGTGTTATTAGCGTGATGAAGTCTCTCGTATAATATAGTTTACTCGCTCACTTGGAGAAAAAAAAACATTCTTGTACAGTTTTCTTTCTTGTGGTTTGGGTCGTCTGTGTGTTGATTTATCGCTGGTTATTCCCCTGTTTTCTTCTTCTTTTTGTTGTTGTTTTGATTTCTTCTTCTTTTCCTATTTCTTCTTTTTTTTCTTCTTCTTTTCCTATTTCTTCTTTTTTTCTTTTTTCCTTCTTTTTTTCTTTTTCTTCTTTTTCTTCTTTTTTTTCTTCTTCTTTTCCTATTTCTTCTTTTTTTCTTTTTTCCTTCTTTTTTTCTTTTTCTTCTTTCATATTCTTATTTTTATTCCTGGTTTTCGTAGCTCTTGTTTATCCTTCACTCTTTATCCATTTATATCCCATCCATCCATCCCTTCCTTACCCGTGTTTCTTCAAGTGAGTTAAGGAGTTTGGGTGAGAATTATCTTCGTCATCCTCTATTCTTTATCTATCCTTTACCTATCCTTACCTCCCATTCTTAGTCACCTGCTAAAGGAGTTTTAATTATCCTGGTGGTCAAGTAATTAAGATTGAAATATATAAAGCTCGTGTAAATCCTTATCCATGTTTTGTCTTCTCTTCCTTATCCTTCACACACACACACACACACACACACACACACACACACACACACACAGTCGACGGTCACCACTGTATATAATGTTCACCTTTATTCATTCCCCCTGAGCAGGTCTTTTTTTATCGTCCATAAATTACAGGTTGAGATCTTTTGGGTCTGTCCCATTTCTCCATGGCGACCATTCTAACGACCCCCACTCAGGACGACCACCGCCATTGAGAACGACCATTTGACGACGAAGACCACCACCACTAAGGACGAACATTTGACGACGACCACCACCACTGAGGACGACCATTTGACGACGATGACCACCACTACTAAGGACGAACATTTGACGACCACCACCACCACCACTGAGGACGACCACCACTTTCAGCGACCATTCTGAGGATAACGACCACTATTTCCAGCAACTGTTTTAAGTGGCGCAACGACTAGATTCAACGACGTTTTAAGGCCACGACCATTCTCTGCGACTAATTCGAGAAGGAACGACCATTTTCAGGTTGACTTATTTGAAGCGACTTTTCTCTCAGAACAAAACATTTTTCTCGTAGTTCTCGAAGCGACAAACGATTTTGAGACATTCCAAATGCGACAACTATTTTCAACGACCATTCTAAGAGCAACGACTATACTCTCAAACGACCACACAACAGACAACGACCATTATCAAAGCGACGACCATTTGACCATTTCCTGGGACCATGTTTTCCCAGCTTGGCCGTAATTTTTTTCTTCTTATTTTCCTTGATTCTGTTCATCTGTATCTTTAATGACCTTCTTTGTCTGTCTCGTTTCTCTTTCTCTCGGTCTGTCATTGTTTCCTCTTTTGATTTCTCTCTCTCTCTCTCTCTCTCTCTCTCTCTCTCTCTCTCTCTCTCTCTCTCTCTCTCTCTCTCTCTCTCTCTCTCTCCCTTATTTATGTCATTAATTCTTCCCCCGTCCCACTTATCTTTTGTCTTTGTCTTTATCAGCAGCTGGCATTTGTTTTGTCTCTTCTCTGGACTCTGGCTTCTACGATACGATACTCACTCACTCACTCTCTTCCTCACTCACTCACTCACTCACTCACTCACTCACTCAATCGATTCTCCCTGATTCTGATTCTCGCTTTTGAAGGCAGGTTTTCATGTTTGGTTATTTAAAGACTAATAAATGATTCTCTCTCTCGAATTTTTCTTTTCTCCCACTTTTTTTTTTACTCTTCTCCCACCTTTTTTACTCTCTCTCTCTCTCTCTCTCTCTCTCTCTTCTCTCTCTCTCTCTCTCTCTCTCTCTCTCTCTCTCTTCCGCTAATTCACTCCAGGTTTCCGCCCTCATATTTGTGTGCTGTTCGCGGTATCGGCTCACAGTCATTTGTGTTGCTGTAAGAGTGGAAAATATTGCTTCAGCTGTTGTAAAGGGAAGTGACCCGGGCCTCTGAATATTTCAACTCGCGTTATTATTTTTTTCACGACCTTTCCAGAATTTATGTGACCGAGTCCTTGGAATCTTGTGAACATGTCATTAAAAGTTGAAAATAAAAAACAATGCCAGGAATAATACATAACATACATACATACATACATACATACATACATATATGCACATAAATACATACATGTATACATAAATACACGCACACACACACCTGTATGTTTAGTTTTTTACATTTGCTTTTTGTTTTCCTTTTATTGTCAACCTTAACTTTTACAAACGACAGAATCCTTGGAATGTTTGTCAATACTTTACACAGAGAATATTTTATATAACACAAATATTTGATAAGTTTTTATTGTCTGGCTGTGAGAGTACCAGCAGTCGTCATGAATACTGCAACAATTGACATATACCTCACGTCACCTGACCTCTCCTCTGTGTGTGTGTGTGTGTGTGACGTGACGTGATATGTATAAATTATAGATACATTTATCTATTCACGAACATTTATATAGTTATACATGTACTGTAATTACTGTATATAATAACAGCTGTGTATATATGTAAGTAAACTGTATATATGTATTGTACTTCACTTAACATGGCGAGTTGAAGGATATATGCCGTGAATTTTTGTGGTAATAACGCAACCGTTATTCTGAACTGTAATTGTGTCAAGCTCATCTGCCAATTATAACTGTTTCGCTGCGTGTTATTTATGAAGACAACTGAAGAAATTACCCTTTAATTTAGCACTCCCCTCCACCTCCCCTGTCCTCCCCTCCCTCTCCCCTCCCCGGGCCATTGGGTTAAGCCCTCAGGATGATCATAATCCGGCTTCCTCCTCGTCATTTCCTCTTGTTTTCTACCTCTCCTTATACGCATTCACCCCCTCCCTTTCTCCCTCCCCTCAGCTCCCCAATTTATCCAACTAATGACCCAATTAACCCGTAACTACAGTTCCACTTCGTACTAAAATTGAGGCTTTATATTCCTAAAATGTACCGTAATTGGCGACCAGCCTGAGTTATTCGTTATAAAGGCTTATTAAAGACCTAGCATTTTATTATTTTAGGGGCCATTATGTATAACTTTATAAAGGCGTGAGAGGGAGGGGGTAGGGGGTAGGGGGGTAGGTAGTATATGATAACACCTCGTAACTTGTGGTACAGATCCTCAGCCTCCTACAGGACACACACACACACACACACACACACACACACACACACACACACACACACTGGTTCATACCTCACACGAGCACTTTTTTTCTCCCCCTTGTGTTTGTGTTTGTTTATTTATTGATTCTCTTTGGATACGACCTAGAGATAGATTTTCAAAAGTTCCTGTGTTATATTTTCTTCTGATTGGAGATACGAGAACGATTCTTATATGGTCCAGTTAAACTAGGACAACAAGATTGATTCCCATACGTTTGTAAGTTAAATTTTCATCCCATAACTAGACTGGGCATAGGAGAGTGTATATAAATTGGCCCATACATGGATTATCAAATGTTGGTAAGGTTTATTAGTCTTCCTTTACTGGTTATAATTATAAGAACGTATATAAGTTAGTTCCTTTATAACTTTCACAAAAATGACGTTTCATAATGTCTTCTGAGAGTGTCCTGAAACTGTCGGTAGAAGCTGTCTCATTTCAGGGAAGAAAGGATCGTACGATTCTTGGAGAATTTGTGACATTAAAAAAAAGGGGGGGTAAAAAAGTGTGGCCGGGTAAGAGGTCGTAAGTCTCCAGCATGGATGGTGGTGCGCGGGAGTAACAGGCAGTTGGGTGTAACGACAGTGTGTAAATAATGACATAACCCTCATCAGACTCCTTCAGGGTGCACCACACATTGTCAACAGGCAAGTTAAGAGGCTGATGGCATTCATCACACCGTTTGAGGCTCTTATAAGACTCTTATGAGGCTGTTATGATGCTCTTACGTTGGCTTTAAGAATCCAGTAAGTCGTCGTCCGTATTCTTAGAGCAGACTCAAGGGATAAATTACTTAGCGTGATTGGTTCCTGGAAAGTCAACAAGCGGGCAGCAAGTGGGCACGGCATGTTTATTGGTCATTTGAACCACCCCAACGAGCTTTCTAATTGGCTGTTAGTACTAATATATGAAAACCACGCATGAGGGCAGGCCAGATATTATTCTCTATAAATAAGACTTTAAAAACGAAGGCCAGACGTGAATTACCACATCGTCGCTTTATTCTGCAATTAGAGCGTGTTTATGCCTCCTCCGTCCAGCACCAGACGAGGTTCTCTTCTCTTCCTCTCCACCTATTTACCTTCCTCCTCTTATCCACACCCCTCCTACCTACACGTAAATCCCGGTTAATAGTGTATAAAGTCCTATCCTAGCACCCAAAACGTCGCGTCGCCTTGATCTAGAATATTGCTTCAGACTTTGTCGGATGTGGATTAGCGGTGGCGGCGGCGGTGGGGCAAACGAACGCGCGGCCCCAATGTAAACAAAGATGGAATCAGGTAAAGCATTTGGCCGTTACAGAGGATCCCAGACACCGTGCTGCTGGGAATTTACACCTTTAACCCCTCTATTCCCCTCTCCCCCCCTCCTCCCGTCCCACGTTACTCACCTTACGTAATAAAAAAAAAACACCGTGATTGTGGCAACGACCGAGTGAAGTAATGGAAATATAAAGCAAGACAGACTGTACATACCACACACACACACATCCCGTGATTACCCAACTCTATATTTTATCAGAGCTACGCCGTCTGTCATGTCTACGGCCTGTACTTAGAGCGAGGGAAGAGGAATGAGGAGGGAGGGCAGAGAGAGAGAGGAAGGAAAAGAGGAGGGAGGGCAAAGGGAAGGAGAGCGATGCAGTAGGTTGGAGGAGGTGAAAAGGCGCGAGAGATCGGGCTGGGAGCATGGAAGTGAGGGAAGGAAAGAGGACATGAGATAAGAAAAAAAGGAGGTGAGGATGCATGAAGGAAGGAAGAGAGAGAGACAAAGAGGAGAAGGAGGTGAAAAAGGACGGAAGGAGGTGGGAAAAGGATAAGGCAGTATATTCCTCCGAGTTATTATGCTTGATTGTGAGTCGTAAAAACAAGTTATGTGGGAGGTAATGGTGGTGGTGGGGGTAAGGTGGTTCACGTGACGGCTTGGCTTATATTACAGGAAGACCCAGTTGTACATCATTACACAGATTGTTACGCCTGGGGGGATCCTTGATGAACGACTGGCCAATGCTGTGCTTAGGAGGGGAGAGGAAGGCTCCTTTATGAACAACTGGCCATTGCTTCGCCCGGGGTTGCTGGATGAATTACTCGCCACTGGTGAGAGAGATGGTAGGAAAAGGAAATAGTTGTGTAAGAGAAAGAATAATTGAGGGTGAGAGAAAGGAGAAGAAAGAGGAACTGTAAGTGAGAGAGAGAAATGTCTCGATATTCGTATACAATATTTCCCCTTCAGTAATGACAAAGTTGGGGGTTAAAATTGCACCGAGTCTCAACCATATCGTGATGCATTATCTTGTTGCTCACACACACGCAGTAATCCTGAGGTCGCTGGACACACAAGGGCAGCTCTTGGTTAATTTAGTATCTAGCTCGCTGATCCGTCTTCATGACTCCTCCCGCTACTCCCCCCGCGCCCCCAAAAAACTGCTGGATGGTCTTGCTCACGGGAGGGAGGCGACAATCCCACCCGCACGGCGCATGAAGGCGTACTGTAAGGCATGCGCTGGTCTACACGCACCTCACCTACCTTCACCACCCAGTCGTGCGTCTCTCTGGTATTATGCTATTATTTTTGTGTTGTAGTGACGTCACTCCGGCTTCGACGTGGCTTTATTGTACGAGTTTTTGTAAGTAAATCCGGAAAATGTCTCCGTATGTTTTATATTTTATTATTCTTGGTTTATGTTATTATTACTAATATTATTCGTATTATTGTAGTTCTTGTTGTTGTAGAGTTTACACTATATAATTATTATTATTATTATTATTATTATTATTATTATTATATCAATCACTGTAACATCATTGCTATTTAATGTGGGGCTGCATAGGTCTGACGGCAGTATAGATGCAGTACACTGAATAATAACTAAAGGCTTATTATTTGGTATATTATTTAATACTCAAGGAAGCAATATGGCCGACACTGCACTTGACTTCCTGTACTTCTCCAACCTTGAAGTTAAGCACCCCCCTCTCACAGCTGGGTGGACTGGGGGTGCCCTAGGCGTGAACCAGCGACCCTTAAATTAGACTTGAAGATGAACGCTGTATCCTTTCACCCCCTAACACCTCGTTCTTATTGTTTTGTTTTGTTTTCTCGTACAGAATATCACCGTTGTTTTGTAAATCTTTGAAGAGGAAGAGGACAAATATCATCTTCTTTATTACAGTCGCTAGTTATACGTGCTCTCTAATTATACTGTATAAAGGTCCTAAATGATACCAAAGATGTTTATGGTATGGTTGATGGGGCATGGAATGAAAGGGGGAAGAGAGAGAAACATGGTAGAGAGAGAGTTGAGAGAGGGGGGAGAGAGAAACGACAAGGTAGAGAGAGAGAGAGTTGAGAGAGGGATGAAAGAATCGACAATGTAGAGAGAGAGGAGCTGAGGGAAGAGAGAGAGAGAGAGAGAGAGAGAGAGAGGGCGAAGGAAGTGAAAGATAGAGAAGTAGGGGAGAGACAGAGAAAAAACGAGAGAGAGGGGAGTGAGAGAGATTCACTATTTACTACACATACCAGGAGGGAGGGAAGGAGGAAGGTAGGTAGGGAGGGAGGTGAGGAAGGGAGGGAGGTGAGGAAGGGAGGTAGGGAAGGAGGAAGGGAGGTAGGGAGAGAGAGGAGGCAGTATAGCGTGACTGAGGATCATAACAAGGTAGAGAGGAGAGTGGCTGGTGAGTCGTGATTTATATCAATGAATACAACAGTGGAGGTGCAGCAGGTG